CGCCGCGCCCCTTTTTATTTGATTGCAGACCCGTTTGCTCGAAATCTTGATTGTTGTCTTGCTTGGCTTCGGCAATTGATAACCGGGGTGGGAGCGGCCCGTCGCAAGAAAACGCCAACACTTAAAGTGAACGTATCTAGAAGGCTGCTCGGTCAATCAGCTAACGAGATATTCTCACCGTACAAGACTCCGCAACCCCCCCTTTTCCATATCCCTGACCTCCTTCGTAGACTTCTTTACCTTTCGGGGATTACCTTACCAGCCTGAAACATCGATATCCCACGTTTTTAAACCTACGTAAGGATACACCGACGCTCCCGCACATATTTTAAGATAGATATGGGGACGAGGGATTTATTGAGGCGATAGCCGCAACCCGCATGGATGGCTACGCCGATGATTGGGTCTTGTCCCTAAATAGGTAGCAAGTAATCCGTATGATATAAAGCTATCCCGCATATGACGCCACTAAGCGACCGTACGACTAGCAGGGGACTGAAATACCCCCTCTGATCCCCTGCTCCTTAACATCTCAAAGAGGTGTTCTATGGTTGTATATCCCCAGGTTTTCCCGTCTCTCCATGTATGTGAATGGCATGGGATACCACTATACTATACGTGTGACGATCGAAGCGACTGGATAGCACCCCTAGCATTTAGAACCAGTCGATAATTTCCCCGGTAATCTCGTCTGAATTAATTGCGCCGTGTGGGTGCACAACAAAGGCCGGTTGCTTTTCACGTTACCATCTGATGTTATAATGACTGGACAGGCTCAAGATGGAAACCCTATCCGACATATCGAGGAGCCTTGATTGATAAGGAGACCGGATAGGCGCGCCTTCTTACTACGCCTTTACGGTACCCGTCATTATTCGCGATACCCCGTATCTAAGCAGTCGATGATGATGAATATTCTTTTTCTCAAATCACTCCGCAGAAGAGTGAGAGAACATCAAATTCAAAGTATTGCTTACCCGGTACGAGCGGTGTGACCCAAGATGCGAATTCGGAGGTTTCCAGCTCAACCGTAGGAGTCGGCAGGTTAGATAGGGGAAGTATAAGCAGTCCTGAACATCATTACCTGAGATGCATGGCGAATAGAAAGTGAACTGGTATAAAATTGGAATGATGCTCAGGTTGGGAACGGGGAGCCGTATGCTTTGCGGCGTAAATTAGGTTAGTAGCATCGAATATGGCCATAGTGATCGGCACAGAACGCATCGTGCGACATGTGGTTTAGGTATCGGGATTCTAGGCATCTGATCTTCATTGCATGGTGGCCAAAAGCCTTGGCATTGATATCTGTCTGCTTCGGGTTTGTCGATGGACACGTAAGAATTTCGTTGTTAGTTTTTCTTTTTTTTCTTTTTTCTTTCTTTCTCTTTTCCCTGCGAATGCGCCGTCGCGGATGCGGGACGCGCAGGATGGTTGCAGATGAAGGAACGGCCACTTGACAGGGACGTATTAGACGGCCAGTTGCTGCTGATGGGATGATCAGATAATGCGTGTTCCCGACATCGTTTTACGTCCATATGCATTAATTCGCAAGGATGGATGAAATATGTACGCTGGTTGGATTGACATCCTAATTTGTTAGATGTGGACAAGCTTCTGTTTACCTAGGTAAGCTGGTGAAATTGTGAAAATCAGATTCATGACGTCAGCCACCAAAGCAGTAATGAATCCGGGAAGACAATTCGAGCCGAGGGACAACCGCTAGGAATCATGTTCAATGTGAACTGCCCCGATGTTTTCCTATAGAACATCGTGGTTGACATTGATAACTGCAAATTGGGGCCAAGAGCCAATCATTCCAGTAATCAAGGCCGCACACGAGATCTCAGTTTTCCCGAGTAGATCGGAATAAGTTTCTGTCATAACTTGCCAACCCCTCCCAAACTCCTGGGTCCAATTGAGATCTCATCTAGTCGAGAGCCAAGTCTCGGTAGCCCTACGACATACCTGTAGTACACGTAGGGAAACTTCCGGACGTCAGAACCGATTCGGGGCGGAAACCTACCTAGCTACCTAATCCACCCATTTTATGTAATCGTATACGCGGATATGCAGCTGCTGTGGAGGCTGTTTGGAGGCCTCCTAGGTGATAATAGGCCAAAGAGAAAACCGAGGGAGCGAAAGGGAGGGAAGCTTGGCATATGGGTGGAACAGCTCCGGCCCGCATAAGAGAGTGGAAAGCTTTCGTGCTCGGCTCGGTTATGCATGTACTACCTATAGCTTTAGCTACAGCTGTAAGCTGCCTAGGTAGGTAGGTATGTATGTAAGTATGAAGAAGAAGAAACTTTCGACCATTCATGACTGGCCTGCTGCAGCAAGGATAGCAATATGTACAGTGACCCACCAAAACAGTAGTCAAGGTTCTGTAAGCAGCAGAGCAGTAACAGTACGGAAAGAGGAAATAATTATGACCCTTTTACTAAATCATCGACGCATACATATCGGGGCTCCCCTGTCTGTACCTACTGAAGCAATACCTGTCTGTACCTAGAAGCAGCAGGATACATGTATGTAGTAATAGTGGACAAGCTTGTAGCGGTGAGCGTATCCGGATTGGTTATGTTGTGCGTTTAGAATGGCGCCGAGTTCAAGGCGATCGATAGTCATGAATACTCGTAATATGTGGTCTTAGTGCGGCGTAGCCGAGCTAATAGATTGCAGCACGAAGGCGGTCCAGATCTAGTCGTTCCAATATCTCCTTGTTAGGTTTCTAGTCTTAGTCGAGGGCGGGAAATGCCTCATCCAGTACACGTAGTCAGCGGCAGAAAAAAAAATCTTCATGCAACGCTCAGATAACAGTTTGTGATGCTCCCGTAAGCTACTGCAATCAGTTAGATAGGATGTCGTCCTTCCGAGGTGGGTATGGTGCCATTTCGAATAAGGTTCCTTTGATGTACAGTCGGTAGTCGGACAGAAACCTTGAGGATGAAATATATAGAGTAGTACTAGGATAAAAGAAAAGAGGTAGAAATGCGTGACACATGGGTTCCGTCATAGGAAAAGAGGGTACCTAGGTATCTTAAAAGAGCAGGAAAGCTAAAGTGTCTTTATTTGGTGAAACGAAACGATAAAACCGATGATAATATTAGACTTTTATTTAGACTAGGCGGAGCGGTAGAGCTCACGAGATAGATCGGAACAGGAGTGTCAGTCGGGAATAATCGTTGTTAATCTGGCATGAGGCTCTTTGTCAACTAGGCGGGTTGGATGACCTCGTGGCATTCTCGATACAACACAACATATGCCTTGGTTAATTAAGCGAGGGTGGGAATATTATTGTTCTTTCGTCTTATTAAGGATGGGGGGTTAAGGGGGGATGATGAGAGGTCGAAGGGTAGTAAATGGGTAGTAAATGATCAGATTGACTTAGATGGACGATTCGGAAGGGATGGATCGTGACACGACGCTCTTTCACTTAGATGCGAATAAGGCTACCCATCTATACATCTATACCTAGGTACCTACCTACCTTAAGGTAGCCCGCGCATGCAGATTCGAGATTGCCTACTGGGGAACTAAAAGCCCACCAATTGTAGCTTCTGCAGTTCCTGTTACGTGCAGATGCTTCTATCGTACATAGTAGTTGCGACCTCTCGCGTAACCGCTTTATACTGGGGTAGATATGTACTGGATACGGGTCCCTCGGGTTCCCTCTTACGGACAGGCAGGTAAGACTTTAACTTTAGGAGGTAACCACAGCTTAAGTAAAAAGGAGCACATCTTTAAGTTTTCATTTTGAGACGCGGCCTTACATTTATATAAGCAATACGGAATATATAGTGTTACAATTAATATTTAATTACCAAATGATATTCACTTACAGGCTAGACAATACATGTATTGTGCATCTGAGGTGCGTCACTCGTCCCGCAGCTGGGCCTACCTAGGGTTAACTAGTCCCGGGTACATACGTACAGTACCCAAATAGGCAATGCAAGTTACATGTAAGGAAGCGTCAAGCTGACTACCTCAATGTATAGCCTACATAGCTTTTCCTAAAGTAAAATTTAGGTAAGCTGTTAAATACGATGTATAACAGCAACGGGAAGGTATTGTGTACAGCCATACAGCCGTACAGCAGAAACCATCCCACTCATTAGCATGCATCCCGCGCTGTATTGGTCATACCTACATAGAGATATGATCACCTTCACCTTTCCTTACTTAATAGTAGAAAAGTTATCTCGCTGGTTTTCCCTGCATAACGCAAGCGTATCAATTGTATATATATACATAGAAGATACGGACAGATACGAATACAAAACCCTGACATCACCTACACCGCAGAGCGTCCAATACCCTTTTTTCTGGCCCTCCTTTCTCGCGAGCAACAATCAATCGGTTCGTTCCTAGAATTAAAATAAAAAAATCCGTCTGGTTTATTTGCGGCCTCTCTCCACTTGGATCGATTCAATCTGGCTTCCCACGAATCTTAATTCTAGCTGCTTCCGTCCTCCTCCGCGCGCACTCCCTTTGGTCCTGGCTTCTGACAATGACAGTCTTCACTTCGTTAAAACGTAGTCCAGTTAGCCATCGCCCGCGCCTCCTCTAACATTAGCTGGAACCCTTCCAAGGTTCCTATCGATTCGCCTATAAGAAAATCATCATAACGTTGCTGTTGTCCAAAGCCGGCTCGTTGGCGACGTGCTCCTCCTACCTTGAACTAGAACTGAAACTGAAACCAAACCATCATCGTCATCATTATCATCGTCATCTCTGAATCTCTCTCCCTTCTTACCTGCGTGACTTTACCCACACCACCCGCCACCTGTTAGATCGTTAGATCCCCCTTACTGCTGCCAAAAGAAGATACCTACATGTAGCTTAGCCAGCTGCCAGCTGTACCGACATCTTCTAGGCACCGTCCTGCTCAACTGGAACTCGACATTAGCGCTAAAAGACAAGGCTTAAAACTTTATCTAATATTTCCACGCTATTCATCAGGGGGACACAAACAATACCTCTACCTTACGTTTAAAGCCTCTTTTTTAATTCTGCATTTCAAGACTTATTTATGAGCTACTTATTTATTTATTTCTCCCTCTCCCTCTCCCTCTCCCGCGTTACCATCCACACGAATACCGGACCTGTCTCCAGATTCCAACAGGATTCCAACAGCTCTCCAACAGCAAACCTGCACCATAACCACTTTTAATAATTCAGACGACCTAAACTCTGCAGCGCCTAGAGCTAGACTACTAGTATCGCACTACTAGTATCGCACTACTAGATTACGGTAGCCCAGTTCGCCTCCCCACACTCTTGCCCTGCTTTGATTATTAACTTTCCTGTCACTGGAAACTACAAATTGCCATCCACCCGCTTCTAATTAATTTCCCTTTCATTCTCGCTTCCCTATTGCGAAAATCCCCCAAACGCGATCAAAGCTGTTTTGCAATCCGTCTTTAGTGTCGCCAACACTTGGGCGCAGCCCACCAAGGCGACCTCGAGCCGCCAACCAACCTTCTCGATTCGCCGAACTGACCCATCTCTCTCTCCACGCCGTTTCTCCGTCGCCAAGTCACCTTTTTCCTATTCGAGACTTGATCCATAACTACACGCCCGCCCTAGTTAATAACGAACTCGCATCACCAATTACCAATTTCAGAAATGTCGAGCGCTTCGGAAAAGACGGTCTCTCCCAGCGCCTCCAAGCAATCTTCCATAAAATCCGTCGAACTTTCCACGCGATCTCCGAAATTACGACCACAAAATGGGCAACCCATTGGCGACGCTTCTCATGCCGAGGCTCAGCCGAAGCAACCCGAGAAGGCTTCCATCAAGGACAGGTTAACCCGAATGTTTTCCAATAGGGACGACATGACCCGATCCGCCCTTCTCGATACAACGCAACCATCTAAGCGCATCGTTCCGAGTCCTTCTCCTAGCCAGACTGGTGTTAGCACACCCTCAAAGCCAAGCGGATTGACTCGTAAACCATCCTCTGCTGATCCGCCTGCCGCATCTAAACCAATACACTACCAGCGATTTGTTGCGAATCCAGACGTCCCTGGCGGCCATGAACACCATCTCAAGGGTAGCAAGCGACAAGAGAAACTCTCTGATATGTGGAAGTCTCTACTTGGGAGAAAGCAAGACCAGCCAGCAGAAGCTGATTTGTCCTTGGTCTCCAGTTGGGTTGACACCCTTAAGCAGGAGAAAGAGTCACTGGCCGGCGACAAGAGAGGAGGTCCAAACCAGAGCATTACTCTAGTCGAGAAGTATGGCAAATGCCAAGAGGTGGTGGGTCGTGGTGCTTTCGGCATCGTAAGAATATCGCATAAGAAGATGGAGAACGGAGAGAAGCTCTTTGCCGTTAAGGAATTTCGTCGTCGACCGGAAGAGACGGAGAAGAAGTATAGCAAGCGCCTGACGGCAGAGTTCTGCATATCTTCCTCTTTACGTCACCCTAATGTCATACATACACTAGACCTGCTTAAGGACCAAAAAGGTGACTATTGCGAGGTCATGGAGTATTGCTCCGGTGGTGATCTCTACACGCTCGTCCTCGCCGCTGGGAAGCTGGAGGTGATAGAAGCCGATTGTTACTTCAAGCAAATGATGCGCGGCGTTGAATACCTACACGAGATGGGAGTCGCACACCGCGATTTAAAGCCCGAGAACCTACTTTTGACGAGCCATGGTGCCTTAAAAATCACGGATTTCGGCAACGGTGAATGCTTCAGGATGGCGTGGGAAAACGATGCCCACATGGTGTCGGGTCTCTGCGGCTCCGCACCTTATATCGCTCCGGAGGAATACATCGACAAAGAATTCGATGCTCGTGCCGTTGATGTCTGGGCTTGTGGTGTTATATATATGGCGATGCGAACCGGACGACACTTGTGGCGCGTTGCCAAGAAGGACGAGGATGAGTTCTACGAGCGGTACCTCGAAGGACGCCGCGATGAAGAAGGTTATGGCCCAATCGAGTCATTACACCGTGTAAGTCTCCTTCGATTTTCTAGTAACTAGCTTATGGTTACTATAATCCTAACGAATAACATGAAGGCTCGTTGTCGCAATGTCATCTACTCTATCCTAGATCCCAATCCTACGCGACGTATCACAGCATCGCAGGTTCTCAAGTCCGAATGGGGCCGCGAAATTAAGCTTTGCAAAGCTGGCGAAGAAGGTCTCTAAGCGACGCTGCTCTTCATGAGCGGCGTCTCTTGACTAAGGGATGAACTTTCTATTGTTAGACCGATAACCGATCGCTACGGGCTGTTTCGTCCCTTTGGTGTCCTCAACTTTACAGAAGATGACGACCCTGATGTTCTTCGCCACCTTTTCGAGACTGCTTCGCTATCAGCCATATTAAAAGCATCAGTCAGACTCTTAATGACCCAGGTTTCCTTTCATCTTGCATGGTGTTCCGGTAAAATTACGATTTCCTGCATTTCGCTTTTATTCTCAAGTTCGTATTTTTCAGTATACATTTTAGTCTCGATACTTCGGACCACGGCACCAGGATTCCATCGCGCAGGCATCAAAACAGGATAGGTAATAGATGCGCCATGCGCACTGCGAGTGAGCGCCAACAGAAGCGGCTCTTATCATCCGTGTAAAAGGATAGAAGCATACTCGCATTTTTTCCTGGTCAGCTGCAAAGAAGGGAAAAGGAACTGGGCGGCTAAGCTGTGATTTTTTCCCCCTCTACGTTCGCTCGTTCGGTTAGCACGTCTTTAAGGGCAGATGTAATAGCTATGATCCGGTTTGTTCATTAGAGGACTCGGATTCAGAGCATTTTAGATAGGCGATTCAGTCCAAATTCTGAGGCTTGCCTTGGCGTCTCGTGTCTTGGGGGGTTGGAGGTTGGCATTTACCAGCGATGAAAGAGCCGTTCGATCCGTTTGATCCGCGACAGAGCGGTGATGTCTCCACAATATAGCACATTGCACGCACGGCAATTGTTCCATTTTCTATCCAAGCCAAGAGTGAAGATTCTTATTAGCGTATTGATTTGTTGTGGTCTTTTCCCTTGCGTGACAACATGAATATGTGTTGACTTGGAGCAGTTGGTGTATGCTAAGCAGGTCTGGTCAAAGAAGCATGGCGCATACGTCTAATAGACTGTACGGCAATGCCGGCTGGGGGTAAGCTTTAAAAGGTCAGGTTAAGGGGTATAAAAATATTGTATTATATTACTATTATGATTATATCGAGCTAGATTATAGAGTCTTGACTTATAGTAATGTTATGAATAATTACACTAGATGCTTTAACTCTTTCATATACCACCATAGGATCTAAATAGAGACTTTTAATACATATATTTTTACCCAGGTCCTTATTAGTTTAGTAATTGTCGAATGTAACCGTTGTTCGCCCCCACCCTACCTAACGATCATACGGCGTATAGTATATCTATAAGAGAGCGGATTGAATCCCATACGCTGAATTAGGTAAGCTTAGTAGAAGATATGTACATAGCACACTCCACTAGCCACAATCCAATTATTAACTGGGCTATATCACATGATCCATCCCGCTGAGTTAGATAATCATATTTCCACCACTGCCACTTCATACATTCATCCTCCGAATCCTCCGAATAGCAATGTCTTGATCTTTCATTCTACAGATGGTAATCATCTGCTTTTATCTGAGGCGCGTCGCACAAATCCCGAGGGTTTCGGCCATATCTTGTAGATAGGATTCGGTACTACTTATCATGACATCCACCTTCTCCCACTCATCGAGCCTCACGTCCCCTATGCCCGTAGGGCTATAACGGAAGTACTTGTCCTGAAATCTAGCATTAGGCGAGAGACATATCTTCTTAAATGATCTAGCCACGGATTCTGCATCTGTCGTAATCTTCACGTAGGCCTTGGCTACTGACATAAGGCTATTTCTTAAGGCTATAGGGTCCGGTATTCCCGTCCCTATGCTAACTATGCAGGATACCTCTGGATCCGGAAATGCTGTCTGAACTTCGTCGATAAGCTCGAATATCGGATTATTACTCCTAAGCGCGCCATCACGAAATGTGCAACCGTTGCTGAAGGTGATGGGGTCAAAGAAAGTAGGCGCTGCTGATGTTGCCCGTGCTGCTTCCCAGATGCGGCAGTTGGAAGCCTCCTCGATATTAGAATGATAGTTCCGTAGTCGTCGGGTGTCTGTGTTCAACATGCTGGCACAGACAAACCTAGCAAATAAATTTAAGCACTCTTCCAGATATGAACGGACGGCTCGAGTACTCATAACTTACATCTTGCACTCAGGGTCCTCCTCGAGCAGGGCTGCATCTGCGTCCCTAAGACGGTCTCGTACTATACCACGGATCTTGTCTTCAAGTACTTTGTGATCAAACGTTGCCCTGCCAATAATATTGAAGAAGGTACGGCCTAGGATCTTCGTCCATAATGAGATCCTGAAGACATCCTTAGACATATCAATGTATGCCTCAATGCATGACGACACGTCCATCCTCTAGGTAATAAATATCAGTAAGCACTACACTTGAAAGCAGATAAGGGGAGTACACACAAGCCTCCCTAACATTATTGCGATAAGACCGCCGGTACTTGTCCCAACGATCATATCAAAAACATCACAGGGTTTCGGTGGTTCTTTAGGATTGATAAGGTACATCAATCTCTGCAATATGAGCAGGCTAACGAGGCCTCTAACTCCACCTCCATCTACGACGATTATTGTTAGCTCTGTTTGACTGTTTAATTTGTGGTTAGATTGATAATTAACCATGGGAACTCACCAAGGGCAAGCAAGCGAAGGCGTCGTTGAGGTAGCACATTTGAATTGCTAGGCATCGTTGACTTGTCAGTGACCTTGAATATAAGCCAGTGCTTAGTAAATACAACAAGCTTATAATATGGGTTTAAAAGTAAACGTCAATATTGTTATATGCCGAAGGTATTGGGAGCACATATTCCATGATAATCTAATTAATCGTTTATGCCAAAAAGACATGAAGCCAAAGTTTTATTAGGATTAACTATATAGGGGCGATGTCAACAACTGACAACTATGATTCTCTGTATAGCATTACCAAATACCGTAAATGGTAACAGTATACGATAAATCGAGAATGCATAATTAAGAATCAAGAATCTAGAATCGACAATTGATAATGGGGCTCTTTTCATATATTTTCTTTGATGAGATTGGCCCTTTTGTTGTCGAATCAACATCGAGATGGCCTCACACCCAACCACGCAACGCCACGCTTTTCGACCTTTTTTCGTAAGTCAATTAATATATTTTCCTGCCAAATAGAAGGACGCGAGAGAGAAAACCAAAAAACGTAAAGCAGAAAATGTTTTTTGGTAGGTAAACAAACCACCAAAAACCGTCGATACCTAAGTACAAGTTTTGGGTTGGGTCTTGTTAACATACTCCTTTTATAGACTCATTTCCCAACCGACACAGAAGTGAGAAAAAGAAAATATCATGTATTTCTGTTCAATCTAACATATAAAATGATTAAGAGATTCTGTTTAAAAATTTTTTACAGTTATGTGGGATATAACATGGAGTATCATCTATTAGAAAGTTTGAGGAAAGACACATCTTTTTCTTTTTTTTGCCAGATGATGCTATAGTAGTATTAAAAGATTGTTAAAGCATCCAAGTGAAGTGATAACATTGACAATATTATATTCATAATAGATATAGTCTTTTGTACCTATCAAAGTCTTTAGTATTGGCATATCAAAATACTATAGCTAGGACTCAAGGTTGCACTAGACTTAACTAATGGCTTAATGGTTATAGTTCAGTAGCAAGATGTCTAGCACTTCTTGCCTTGTAAGCTTAGTTTAGTGGCACCTAACCTAGAAAGTTGCCCATAGGACTAAGTCTAAAGAAGAAGCAGATATTTCCAAGTTACTTTATAGCTTGACTTTGCACGGCGTATATCATTAATGTAATAGGTATCCATAAATTTAGTATTGTCTTGTAAATCAAATACACGTTCCACTTACATTACTTAACAAATTAAGACTATGCAAAGACTCAAGACTTACCGTCTTACGAATGACATAGCCGTATGGTATTTCGTAAGATATTGTAACCTCAAGTATATCAAAATGAACTGATAATAGGCAGCTTAGGTAAGCTACCTACCTACCCCTCGGAAATCCCAGGCCATTGTTAAACACCTAGCTTTATCTTTCGCTCTTTAAATCAGAATAGACTAATATACTTGATCGGTAGTACATAGTACAGCCTTGTCTTTCCCCAAGTGATTAGAGCTTCGAAAATATTACTTATGATATATTGGTTATTGATCTATTGAGAAGCCTAAGAATAATATCTTCGTCGCGGTCACTTGGCCGCCTTTACCAACTCAAAGGTCACCCTCCCTCCTTGCAGCTCTACACTATTCATGGGGCGCAGTGTGATAAGCGGCATCCCGGGCAGTTAAGGCTGACTTTATCTTACCTATAGTATATCTTTACGTGTTGGAAGAGTCAGCCAAATATCCCAGCCCCTCATGCATTCTGCCTCCAGGCTTAGAGGGTGTGTGGGCTTAGCTTCAGCACTTATACGCGACAGCAGCTTCTGTCGAGTTAATAAGTATCGACACACGCACCCGTCTAGTCATAGAAGCAATTATTCAAGCTCTTCTCTCGAAACAGACACCTCTTCTAATATACAACAGAAATCGACGACATGTCTATCTCTACAGACGAGCTTCGAAGTCAATGGGCGAACCCAGGTGACATTCTCAGTCTTCTCCTCCTTATCGGTAGCGATATTGTGCAAAAAGCCATCGCTCAACTCGTCGGGCACAGGATTCACCTTTATGGAGATAAAAGAAATCGAGGCCTGTCAATTGCGCCCGTTGCTTTTTCTTTCGGATGGGCAGCTTACGGGTTCTCCAACCTCCTCTCAGCTATCGGGGATATGAGGCTGATGCCGACGAGCGATTGCCCTTCCTTTCTCGTAACCTGTTCCAACGGATTTGTGAGGGAGAACCAATCTTGGATATTAGGCCGTCTTCTTCGGGATCATGAGATTAAATATGCCGTCGACCCGCGGCCGGAGGATGAAGGTGGTCGAGCTGAATCTATCCGAATTGACGTCTTCAACCTGCTTCCCGTCTCGCGCCCTACTTGCGACTTCGTGTGGTGGCTTGGATGGGCAGTATTACTTGCGCAGGTTGGTATTGCTATTGTACCCTGGGTCTTATACGATGACTGGGGAATTTTCGTAATCACTCTATGTGGGAATTTGTTCGTTGCTGCTACCTGTGCTCTGCCGCAGTGGACGCAAGAGAAATGGGCTGGCCGCCAGTTGAAGCGCGACAAGGTAACATGCCTAACACGCGGTAACGGGCATTTTCATATCATGGTCTTCATCGGTACTCGAGGCTCCTGGGATCTGGAGTCTCTTGCAAGCAGCATACCTGTTCCGCGGCCAGAGACTCGCTAGATTTCTTTGCTCCTCGCTATACTGTGGACCTGCCTGCTTATTAGCATATCGGGACTCAAAGAACATACCTGGTTTCTTGTCGGTATTGGAGGTATCGGTATGCTACAAAATATCTTCGCAGCCGGAACACCTCGAGAGCCAGGTACTTCTAATTTACATATTACCAAATTCTCCCGTGTGTCAACGATCGTAGGGAGACGCGAGGACTATGAAGACGATATAGATTGTAAAGTTAATCTAGAAGAGGTCTCTAAGGAACTTGCTGATATTGCTCTATGGACATCGGGGAAGTCGTCGTTGGCATCACAGGGTGACAATCCTACTCTAAACAAAGCCGCTTCAATGCCGCGATGGCTGATCACGATGGCTGGTTCCGATGGTACTCCAAGCTGGCTGGAGCCCCTGAAGCCAGTCCCTTTGACCAATCATACTCCACCCACATGCCGCTTGATATCAAGAATATGGCAACGGCCCGTTACCGATAATGGCAAGCAGGATGAGGTTGTATATGCTATCGGGGTTCACGGTGCGCTGATCGAGCTTGAGAAATGGGTGCCGACAGCCGGGCTTGCGATGGCCCAGATATTCTTCCCGGCAGGCCTCCAGTACAATGATGCGGCCGTACGGGATAACAAACATAAAAAATTCTGGCAGAGAGCATATCATACTAAATTAGTCAGAGAAAGAGCAGAAGTAAAAAGGAGGGCCGAAGAGGTGACTCTAGCTCCGATGGGAGTCTAACTGGACATGCCGAAGCTGAACTGCTTGCGTGTTTCGTCGAGAGGATATTAGCTAGGAGTTTCTGTATGCCCATAAAGCGCTCCTCAAAGAAGTGCATGTCTCTAATCCTTGTAGTTAATTTACTGGGAATCTATCGCAGCTACGATATCCTTTTAAACACCACGAAGCACCGACTAGGGTCTTGAGGCTTGCCTGCTACGCCAACCTTCAAAACTAGCCGTCTTTAATGACCCGCAAGCTTTTCGCTTATATAGGAGGCAGGCAACGCGGATTTGTTTTGCTTAGTTGCTAAATACTACAGTGTCTATACACAGCCTTGGGTTTATATACCGTTAATTACATTTACGTCGTCTTGACTCTTATACCCCTCGACCTTCTTAGATGACTTTAACTTGAGGAATAAGTCGCAGTTGTCAAGGAACGGTAGGTACGTCAAAGGGTTTTGGTCGAGCGCAACGGGAATAATGTCGCGAGTATTACGACTTTGAGAACACCTTATTTTGAGAAAGGCAAGTTCAGTAAGCACATGATGAAAAGCATCATGGGAGCAACTATCTTCTACCACCTCCCTAATACCTTCTTTGCGTTGTTGTACGGAGGATGCGGGTTGTCCCTTAGTATACGATGCTTCAATGGCACCTATGTATGACGAGGTGAAATCATCTTCATAGTATCGTTTAAGCAGACTCGAACTACACACCACCGCCTTCTCGACGCCGCTGACGGTGCCGGTGCCGTTGGAATCATTCGGTGCTGGGAGCAGGCAAAATTGGTTATCGAGAATATTTCGGGTGGCAGCAGAACCACCCTCACGACCATCAAATAGAGGTAGCGGGGACTTGTCTGAAATAATCCGAGCCCGAATTCTTCTGAAGTACTCGATAAGTCTCTTGACGCTTTCGGCATTGGCTCTCGTATCCAGCTTAGGGTTTTCATGCGCATAGACGATAAATATGCTAGGGGAAGTCGAATGACTAAACACGTCTATATCTGCGAAAACTCCCAGTATCGCGGAGAACAATTCCTCTCGTGCTAACAAGGCTATTAGTTGGTGACAGGAGTAGAAAATGGCAGATGACCCATGACGAGACGGCGCCCGAGAAACGTGCCGACATCCTCTTGATACTGGAACCCATTCATGGAATCCGATGTAACTGGACGAGTTTCTATTGCTGACTATACGAAGCTTGGGGATTGCTGAGACGATAACTGAGTTGACGATACCGAGCGGAAGCAAAAGGGCAACTTGAGACTAAGCGGAGCAAAGGACATCTCTGCGTGTTGGATAGTAGGAGTAGAATGCAGCGAGGCTGTAATGTAAGATTTAGACAGAAATTAAAGCCCAATAAAGCCCATTTCATCGCCGGGGTATTTCGTATGTGATTGACGGGAAAAGAGCCAATTACTGGGCTGCGTGGTGTGGTGGCTTAAACGTGCATTTTCGAAGCGCCGGGGGCCAGTACAACAGGTAGGCACACCATAGGGGCTCTCAAGGAGGACACCAGGGGCCTGGGAGGCCATGAAACGGCCTCGTGATAACAAAAACGCCAGAATCCACCAGAAGCCTCGAGCTCTGACCAACTTCAGAACAGAATCGCTCGGGAATTATAAGTTGGTTTGAAAGTGAGAGATACCTATATACCTACCTAATATATCAAAGTGTACTGTTAGCCAAAACATACTAACAAAAAGGGGGGCAGGGCGACGTTGGGGATGGATAGATATGAGGTACCTATGTGATGCAAAAGGATGTTGTATTCTGTAACATCTCATAACCCCGCTTGACTGCTAGAAATGTTAAATATACTTGTATGCATCGTACCTTCCCATAGGATCGGATCTAGGACAACGTGCTTCGTTCTTATCCTATAGGGTCCTCTCGATCATGTCTATCTCCCACGTGCGCATAAACAGAGTTTGGAACAAGTCGGTGAGAAACACTTCGTAAGGTTCAAACTACCTAAAACAAGACGGACAAACGTAATTGCCAACCTGTCTCGGTTAGCCCTCGTTTACTACAATAGGAACTGACATGATTTGCTGAGATGCAACCGTTATACAACGGTAGGACCTACGGTTTCCCAGCGCACGGTTATATCGACTACGTGGAAGAAATCAGAAGACGTAGATCCAAAAATCTATTTCACCCTAACTGTTGGAAAGAGCCATATTATGTATTTTACCAGAACCTATTAGTTCTGGGCTCCCTCCTCATATTCGTCCAGCTTCTAGACGTAGTACCAGTGTACCAATTCCCTTGACCGTAGCCTCCACAGGTTGAATAAATACACGTCCTCCCTCCCTCGGCCTGCCTCTTATCCCGTAGTCCCTGCTATATTCCACCCTTAGCAGATGTCCCACGAATCATACCCTCATTTCCCCCGCCGCATCAAGAAAAATGTTTGAGATGAAAGATGGCAATCCCCAGAAAGCAACAAAAGAAAATGCTCCGAAACATCTTTTCCCTTCGAAATACCATCAGTGCTAGGTATCAACATCTCCAGACATAGGTTCCCAGTACAGTCGTGCTCCAGATTCTAGCATCTGGCAGCTGAAGTATGATCACCCACAGTGTCCGTATCCGCTAACGCCGTCTCAGAACGACGTACTTAGTACTAAGACATTATATCCCCCAATCCGTACCCCGTATCCCTCAGATGATGGGCTAACGATAGGAATATAGGATCATATGCGTAACATAGTAGCGGGTATAGTCCGTCAAAATCCGACATGGCCCGTCAACAAATGCACATTGCCCTTACCAAAAATCCATATTGGAGCATGTATACACGGAAATAGGGCCGTATGTACTTCGTACCGTGGCATTAAGTCATGAAGTTGCAAATGTCAATTCGATTCGCCCCGGTAAGACCGTCGCGGGAGATTCACGAGTGAAACAAATCCCAGGCTCTCTCGCATATCTTCAAAAACTCCTCGCGCTTCTGTCGCTGGGTCTCGGGGCTGTCCCGGCCGGCTCCAAAGGGGCCTCTCCGAGTAGGTGCAGGCCCGTGGCCGAGCGGGGGGCTACTACCTTCCTCGTATTCGGCGCGGGTTCTTCGCCTGCTCGTACTTCGACCCGTGTCTAAGGGGTTAAGTCCATTTCTGGGTGATGGGGGTGTCGGGGGTTGATGTCCGGTGTAGTGGACAAGCTTAGGTAGCAGCTCTGGCCGCCCGCCGGCGAGTTCGTGTTGTACTTCCTCGGCCGACTTGTATTCTCGACCTCGGCCTGACATGGGAGGCTGCGAAGGACCTGGCGGCGGGTGGCCAGGCGATGCTAATGGTCCGTGGCTCGAACCAGGGTAGAAAGCTCGCGCACTTGATTCTGCGTGTGAAGGAAGCCCTTGGCCACCGAATACATCGGAGATTGGAGGTAACCGATTCGTCGTTTGGTTCGCAGGTACGTGATGAATGTGAGACGTGCTGGACAGGTTCGAAGGCTGATTAGCGAGATGCCTCGTTAAAGGCTGCGGGTTATGGCGCCCGGTAAAAGTCTGACCCAATGGCGCAGATTGGATCACTCGCTCGTGGGCGAACTGCTCATGTGATGGTGCTACAATGCTTAACCCCGGAGGGGCTTTATTTCGTCGAGACATCCCTGGGGTCTTTGCGGCGAACTGGCTAATAGGATCCTTCTCCTTGCCATTATCGGGACCATCCCCCTTTGCCGATTGCTGTTGTAGTCTAGCTTCGATAATACGGCGTTGCTGTTCTCTAACATTCATGCTCTGTTGTAGGTGCTCTTTCATTACAGGATCTTGAGTGACGAAGCCGGGTGATAGACATGCGATACCCACTTCCTGGATACCGAGTCCTTCCCTCCCTAGCGCCGGACGTGCCGTAGCGGCGCCTGACCCGGTGAGACTCTTGGAGAGATCCAGCCTTCTTGGGCGATGACGACCGGCCGGTATATCGGGAGATCCTGGCTCTTTCTTTACAAAGATTTTAGGTCCAGCAGCGCTCGACACATTTCGTGTACTACAGCGGAGGCGAGGGTTAGCGACAGGATTATTCCGAACATACGATAACGGAGGAATGGTTCTCTTTTTCTAGGGGTTGGATATTTTCGTGACGGATTGAAGGATCTGTCGAGGCCGAAAAGGGATAAGGGCGAAAAAAGAGTATAAAAAAAGCAAGTTACTTACGCGCTCGGGGGAGAAGACTTTACCGCGGTCTGGGCAGCGGCTCTGGGGGGACTTCGGCTGGTAGGACGTTGCGTCGCAGAAGCAAGAGCATTGGTGTTCGGAATGCCCGAAACTACAGCCGAAGTACGTGGGACGGAAGGTGAAGCCGGCGCTGCGGCAATTCCAGTCAGAGTCGAGGAAGTACCTGCAGCGCTGGTAGCAGGCGCTAACTCAGCATAAGCCGGTCTATCGTGGGGAGCCGGGGAAGGGGCCATAGCAATCGCTGCGCTCATGGTGTACAAATGGCTTTAAGCTTTTTTTTTTCTTGATATGGTAATTCCAGGTACGATGATGTTAGCTCGAAATTGAGTTTTTTCTTGCTTTGGATGCTGTTGCTGATCCTCTCCTATTTTTATTCCCGGCTGAAATGGCTGATGCGCCACGCGGGAGTTGGCAGCAAGGAAGGGAAATGGGCGGAAAGTCTTGAAAGCGTTGCAACGATGGTACAGACAAGACGCTCCAGATGTCAGCGAAATTGATTGATGAAGGGATGAGGCGCACTCTGAGCCCCCCTTCACGCCTGCGCTTAACTTTGCAGGCTTGAGTTGCAGGAATATTGATGTTGGGCCCCGATTATTGTGCAAATGGTTGTAGCCAATGACTATCTGGTCCTTCTACTCAATCTGCCCGACTCCGTATTGGTACGTGTCCAAACGCGCCAATGATCGGGTCGCTCGATCGATTTAACCTATTAATTCCTCTGATGAACTGCCTTAGCTTGCCAATCACGAATGATACGGAGGGCAAGTAGGCAGCACGTCAGCTCCGAGTAAGCAATCAGTCTTGTATCGCACTGGAATATTTCGGGCCTTGAGCCGGACGGAGCAACTCTAGTTTGACGCCGAAGCTCGAGAATGCAACCGACTGGAGTAAAGTCCGCGGGACGGGATAAGATCCGGTGAGCCAGGTATTCGGATGTGATCGAAGTTCGATTATCGGTTCGAGGGATGCCCCTGAAGGTCGGATCCGATATGCGGTCTCCCCTCCTTTGTCTCTCTTCGGACTTGCTGCTCTACGAATTGTCTCTCGACTGAATACGCCTTTTTGTTTTCAAGGTTGGTATAAGTTTTAAATGAATGCTAACTCGCCTATCCACCTTCTCGATACTACCACACCGGATGAGAGATGTAGGCGACGCTTAAATTGTGTTGCGCTTTGCGTTGGGCTCGTCACACAAGTGGACGAGTCGCTCGTGGAGGGATGTCTGCCGGTCGATGAATCGGCGTATTACTATGGTAGGGACAGATACCAAAATGTGGCTGGAATTGGAGAATCGGAAATTCGAACGAAACAGTACGAAACTCGATTAGATAGGGATTGGTGTATATACGGTTGCAGCGAACTTTTCTTCCCCAAGAGAAAATAAAGAAGAAAGAGAGAGAAGAAAAAAAGGCACTACAACGAGGAAAGATGTAGCGAAAGAGACTCGACGAAAGACGAGTGCGGAAGGTATGGGATTAAGTTAAGGTATAAGGTTAGATAGGCAAAGTCGAAGGGAGGAAAAGGTAAGAAAGGTTCCCGAGGCGGAAAGAGGGGCAGGCTGATGGGCCGACCTCCCATGTTATTAGCGGTTTCCTTCAGGGACGAACACTGCTTCCTGCCGTACTGTACAAAGCATGTACAAAACAAATGTACTTGCTCTATTAGGTACACTGAGTCGTTAGCGTGCTTTAGCTGCGCTACAGGTACATACAGGTACAGCACAGGCCCAGACGCGACCTTGACGCTAGTGTGCCAGGTAAGGCACTAGAGATTCAAAAACCCCCCCGGAATGGCGACTTCCAATGAAAGGGGAGGCGGAATATGTTAGGAATGACACAGTTATGTGTGAGAGAAGTGTGGGTTCGAACGAAGATGGATCATGGACCTGGGGGAGCCTGGGTTTGCTCTGACAAGCCCGGCAAACCTGGGACTTTGAATCCCTGTCGTGAAGAAAAATTCAGAGAAGCGAAGATGTGCAATTGGTTCCCGATTTGATCGTTGAAGCACGGCCGGTAACCCTTCACTTGGGGTTTGCATAGTATTTCTAGGCTGCCTAGGCTGATATGCATTTCGTTGAAATCCAACGGTTCTATGTATGTCATCTTTTTCCTTTTTCATCTTAAATTTTTTTTTTCCTTTTATTTCCTACATATATAGTTACCGTCACGAATACATACTTCAACTACCTGTTTGTCTACCAGTACCTAGGTACCTACATACACTACGGGTACAAGCTAAGGCTAGAAACAGTGCACGCAAATGTACATATATGGCTAATACGACGCATATGGTGAAACATAACCAAAGTTAGGACTACTCAATTTTCTTTCCCTAACCCACACGAACTCGGCACACGTCAGTCAATCAGTATTTGCCAGAAGAGCTCGATTCAGACGGCTTGTGGGTACACATACCTCGTAAACGGTGAAGAAAGCAGCAGCTCTGTGGGACTTGTTTCCGTTCTGGACGGACTTGTCTTCTTGTCAGGCAGGTTTGGTGGTTTGGTGGCGTGTGGGTTGAGCCAAGGAATGGAGCCCCCGTCGCTCTGCCTCCGTAGACTGTTTTACATTGATGCTTAGCAACCAACCCGCTTAATCCGGTCTCGATCATGATTGGATCCCGCGAGATTGATCAAATTCGGGAACTGGAATTCTAACACTCTAACATTTCATCAACTTGCGATAAGCCCCGTCAGAGAACAAGAACGGACAAGTTGGCGATCTACAACAAAAACTATAGACTAGGTATAGACTATCGAAATGTCAGATGCTAGATCGACCTTCGGCTCGAACGGTTCGGTTTTATCATTCGTCCAATGGCGTGGCACAGGTCGGCGAAGTAAGAAGAAGAAAAAAGTAGAAAAGGGTTGGTTGATCATGGATTATCAGGATGTGACTGCGTCTATCGATTCCCTCCCATCCATTTACTACTATGTATGTACCATCTGTCAATTACCATTTGTTGCCGCATGGTCCACTCCGTTGCACACGAGCGCAACGTCGATTTTCAGGTGAATTCAGGTGAAGCTACTCTAGACATGGGTCCTTGTGTTGGTTGGACGTTATGCCTTTTTGGCTCAGACAAGGATTACATCGGCCGCAAACTTATTCGGTTTTCTTGCTCAACTGCCCAGTAGTAGCAGGCAGGTAGGTAGATCGGACGAAGATTGCCTCTACTTTTTACTTGACCCGAACAGGACACCGTCCCGTTGGAAACCCTTCTCCTGCCTTAGCGTTACCACCTGCATATGTAAAGTATGATATGGTATGTATGTATAATACATTGTCCGTCCCATTCCGTTCTATAATCCATCCCATCAGCTTCCCTTCAATGTGAAAATTCCAGAAAGAGTAACCTCCCTCATTGATACTTTCACCGTAACCTTTAGTCGTGTCAAGTATACCACCTGTCTGCCTAGGTAGGTATGTATCGAGATGCATGCAAGTAAGTTGCCCTTAGCGGTAATAATATTCAGATCTGTTATGCCTCTAAAAATTCCCGTATGTTTCAGTCTAGTCTCTGACGCAGAGGAACAGTTTAAGGGAACAGACTGCGGGATTGCGGCCTGGGGTGCCGCGTCCTCGGCACGCCAAATCCTTACGGTGGTGGCCCGTGAACATACATTATCAACTAACTTTTTTTTTTAATCACTTAAGTCTCTCTATTATAGCGGATCGCCGTCATGGGTATCGATGCAGAAGAGCTCTCGTATTGACAGGCGTACGGAATACACTATATGTACCTACATAGCAGATCCCCGTACACGTATGAGGGGTGGAGGGGTCTGTCTGAAATCCCCTGCTGATCGGTTTGTGAATCGTGATTTATTAAGTATCCAGTGCGATGTAATAAGGCGGAAAGTCCCCTGTCAACGAGCAGTTCCCCGTCCGCGAGTTTGTCAATCCGATCAACAGCATCGTCGTCATCGTAAGCACAGCCCAAACTTAGGCGCCTATTATGGTTGTCATCTACATAGTATGTAGATAACACTATGTAAATGACAGCATGATGGAAATGATGAGAAGCAAACTCTTACATAAACTGTGTGGAATTTATGAAAGGAATGAATTGCCGATGGGCGATGGGCGATGGGCGCTGCGCACGACATGACTTCAGGTGTGTAAGCGCCTTAAAAGTTGAAACGCAAACCCTTGGCTCGTGTCCAATACAATGCTTATGAATTTCATATTATTCATCCTCCTTCGTTCCGTCGAAGCTACATTACGAAAGCTGCTGTCTCAGATTCTTGTCGATTTGACTCGATTTGAGAGGTGAGATGTTATCACTTGAATGTTATTGGCACCCGGTAGCAATGTAGTATATCATGTATGATGTACAGTACACCCCCTTCATACATTATATCATACACTACGCATTCCTTTCCCCATCAAGACGCGTTAGTAAAAATTTTGCGACATCGCTGAGCTTCACACGTGTGTGTAAAGATATTCGTGGGGGCGGTAGAGCATCCCGCATTTCTTAAAAACGCATAGAAATGTCAATACCGTACTTGTCAGTACTATACTATAGTTAATACTATATCAATCAGTATCGTATATTTTAAGCAACATAGCGCTGTCGGTGGTCCACTCTATCAGGTATAAGTCCGATGCAATTTGCCGCGCGGCAATGAGACCTCAAAATAAGTATCACGTATATACATACCTAACCTATATTTATATCCAGCATCTATCTTCCATTTATATAAACCGGCCCTAGACCTCGTGTTAACATATCAAGAAAGAATCATTGCCATCATCACGAGAATGTCGTCATGAGCAACGAAGGAAGATAAATCCACGTCTCAAGTAGCACTGCGCCTACGAGTCCTCTAACAGCATCTTGAGGCGCAAATAGGCGCTACCTACCCCCCAATCTACACAGCCACGACACATACCACAGGATGATGCTCATCGGTTCAATTAAATTAGTGGACAGGTGTGTATATATTCAGGAATATCAGACGGGTCCACTCGTGGTCCTTTCCGCGCTGCTACTCTTCTAGAAAGACCAAAGTAGCGGATCCCCCTCAGCTGAAGGAGCCGTGGACGAGGCGAGCATAGGTACCCGTCATCTACCTGCCGTGCATATATACATACCTGTCCATTAATTTAATTGAACCGACGAGGGGTGTAGGGTGTAGGTAGGTAGGTGTGCGACGTTTTTATCCTCCTCCCTAGCGGTCCCCAAATCCGTACATAATAGTCCTCCGCGGCGGGAGTCTAAAATGTTTTCTCCTCGCATCTCCAGTTCTCCAGTGCCGAAGGCTGAAACGGAACGCAAATCCTAATTGATGTATGTCATGGCGGGAGAAGTGGGAGGGAGGATTGATGTGAAACCACGGCAGCGCCACGAGGCTGCTGTGTAATATGTTTATTTATGCCGCAGCGGATAGATGGTGTTGATGTCGGGAAGGACCACGGATTCCCTCTGACTCAAGCTTACTAAGTACGGCAGACGAGAGAGGACACTTGTGACTTTGATGCTATATGTCCCTTTACTATGCTCTATATCCAAGACTCGGATTTATCTGGCTCAAATCCAACCGCATTTTGAACACCCGAACGCACGTGAATAGGAGCACCCCCCTTTCCTATCAACCAGCCTTCCACAAACATCGTCCCCGAGTATCACCTCGTCTTCAGCAATACGCTATTGATAAAGTATACCAATAGCCAAATATATGTCTTAGCTCTATCTCCACGTGGTACCTCGTGCCTCAACGACCGCAGATGCAGACGCAGCCGCCCGCCGAGCCAATTCGTTCATGCTCGGCGCCAGGGACCCGGGAAGCGTCGACGGATACGAGCTCGTGCGACGTGGGCAGAAAACAAGATCCCTATCCCTTCCCGTTCCAACTGACTAGTACCCGACAGTAAGTATGTAGGGAACCTGGGTTAGACGGATAAATACATGACAGCTTAGATACCTGGTTTCGAGCGCCTGCGGAGTTATACCTTGTCGCTCGAGAAGCAGTCAGCCGAAATATACCTCTATATAACGCGGGTAGTATATGAAAGTAAATGATGAGTTATATAACTGGAGATGAATAAATAAATAAATACAATTCGGTGCTCACCCGATGCCAGATCACGTAGCACTGTGACACCCCCATATCGTGGGAAACGCGAGTTCGCGAGCAGGAGTAATAGGTCTGTACGAGTTTTCCTCTTGCATAACCAAGACAGGTAGATAAGTAGAGGTAGGAAAGAAGGTAGTTACACATAATCCACCCCAGTCCAACTCTCTAAGTCAAAGCTCACCATACCGTAGAAGAAGATAAGCCAAAACAGAGTTGCTACTGACGATGCTACTGACGATGCTACAGTACAATGCTATGCAAATGCCACAGGCCCCATCCATAGTGAAGCGAATATGAATATCCTAGAACCCCAACCCGTAGGGGGGAAGAAACAAAAAAAAGACCCATCGCTAATGAGGACCTATCCAATGCGCCCATGATGCCTTTCTTATTCTTTTTCGGTTGCCCGTATATCTTTCTTTCTCGGCAATCTAAACCATTCTAATAAAACCCGGGTTATACTTAGTTATTCTATCATAAAACCCTAATCGCACGGCTGCGAAAAGGTTAAGTTCTAGGACCCTCGAGTCCGATGCCCTTCCGGCGACCCCTTATCACTGCTAGTAAAGCCTTTCCGACGGCATCCATATCGCCCAACATGGTAATGTGCCCTCTGTCAGTACTAACTTGACCGTCGCGTACGAGCTCATACCCCTCAGGGAGCATGGCCTCGCGGGCAAGCACGACGCCGTCGCCGCTGCGGAAAACTAAGTCGTCGTACGCATCCGCGCACGCAATTGCTTCGCGTGACGTAACGCTCGCCGCCCACACAGTTGGTACTTCCTTGCCGTAGATAACTGCTAACGGTGGGTACGCGTTGGCTTGCGTGTGCTCCGGCCGGTGCTGGGTCTCTGCCCGGAATCGCTTGATCTCGGCAAGCGTCCGGGTCAGGTACGCGAGGTTGCGGCTGCGTGTCCCGGCGTCGTGGTCAATGTTTTTCTGCTGTTGTTGATGAGCTGTGCTCGAATCTCCATGCAGCGTTCCCATTTGTGGTGCCAGGGTCCTGTCGTTAGATACCTCGACTTTCCGTACCGCCTCGGCCACTAGATTGCGAGTTGGCGACCGGGATTCGCTAGCCGCACTATTTCCCCGGCTCCTTAATGGGGTCGGTAGTCTCTCAGAAAGCTCTCTCAGGGAGCTGAGTGCGCCGGAACGAGACTTATAGGAGGGTAAAGACGGCTCTATACACGGACTCAAGCTGTATTTTATCCATTGTTGCGGGTCGTAGAAATCGACTGGATACTGTTCGCCAGTATACTTATTTATGAAGCAGAAGCCGTCTTCCGGTAGGAAAACAAAACTCGTCCTTAACGAAAAGTTAACTTGCGCCGTCAAGACCTTCTCGTTAAAGAGCACAGCGTCGCCATTGCGGATCGGTCCTAATATATTTATGCATCGTTGCGGAGTCCCTGCGTAAATTACTCCCGAGAATAGATCAGGCCGTTGATTTACAGCGTGGCGAGTAATAAGTCCTCCGAGACTGTGTGCAATGACCAGTGCCCCTTTGCCTTCGGAGAGGCCAGAGCCCTGATTTGAGGGCAGCTGTTCGAGAAAGGCGATCAATTTGCGCGAAAGTAGATGAGGACTTAAACGCCAGTCCCAGCCATAATCCCACACCCTTAGTTTTCCCGACCTGGCATTTTCGCATTCTCTCAATCTCTTGAACAAGCGCTTCGAGATATCAACCAGTCCTATGTTTTTAAGCATGCCGGAGGCGTATATTGTCTCTTCCATTCTTTCTTCGTCCTCGGGATCCAAACCAACTTCCAAATTTACTTTTCGAATGTTCAGCCCAACCTTTACGGGTACCCAGACCTGACGATTAGTTTTGGTAGACCTCAGGATAGACCCACGGTATCCACCCATGATGACAATATCGCCGGTTAATAGCTCCAAAGCACGATCCAGATCCGACAGATTTGTATCGCTGTTATTTGATGGGCCGATATCGAAGAATGTAGAGGTACGTGGGGTACCTGATAAAGACGAGTCTGACTGATTGAACCCCAGTGTTGAATTTCTCTTGAGCGGAGCTGGAATGATACTTGGAAACTGTGGTAATTTGAATGTAGGTACGTCCAAGCTATCCGTGATAGCTTTGAGCCTGCTGTTTTTCTGCTCTCTAATATCATTCCATCTATCGTCGTCACCAAAGGACGACATCCTAGATAGTGAATGGTAGAGTATGGATTCATCAGAAGTTGACCGCCGCATTGTCCGTGGCCGGGTTGGCGGTCGAGACGATGTAGAGCCATCAGCATCGCGGATGGGCAGAGCCATAAGCGATTGCCTATTTTCCGGCGGGGCTATGTTCCTAGGGGTTAGGACAGGCGTTTCTGTGAATATGAGCCGCCCTGCCCTTGGTGCACTGTCATTGGAAGTAATAGTCTTCTTTGCATCCAGCCCTACGCTCTTCGTTGAAGATGGTCCCGAAAAGAATGACGGCAGAGAAATTGATGGCATAGACATGGATGGCATGGACATGGATGGCATAGATGGCATAGATGGCAAAGCCTCCCGTATCCTCTTTAGCGCATCTGCTCCCCCGGACGAAGAACGTCGATGGCCATTATTCTGACCAAATACGGCAGATAGAGCTGGTCTCGAACTAGGCTCATTCTGCACAACCATCTGCTTTGGCCCCGACTGCCATGGCGATGGAAATCTGTACGTAGGTGAATGGTTCGAAGGAAGTTGACCTAGGGAAAGACCTCTACTTTGGCGCGTTTGCGCCCTTGTACCGGCCGTTTGGTAAGCCGTCCTAGTCGAACCCATTGCTAATGGATGCAGACTATCCGGCTCTGAAGTGATCGGTCCCTCGATAACACTAAACAGACCTCTGCCTGGCACCCGCTCCAAAGCTGCCACCTTCTCTGCTGCAGGAGTCTTCGGCAAGGTGAGCCTTGTCGCTGCAGGACTTAAAGCCGGCTGTATGATGGATTGAGCATCGTCTTGGTCGATATACAGCGACTCCTCATCTACTACACCGTCAGACGATGGTGATACCTCTCCGTCGGAAATTATCAAGCTAGGCGGCTCCGGTATACCCTGGAGGAGCGAGGCCCGAGGTTGGCGTTCAGGTGTGCTCGCCATACTGCCTGATTAAGTACCTTTACCTAGGTATCATTGATGGTTGGGCTTCATGAGAAGTATAGGTAATTGAATTATCATTATCCACCTGGATGCTGATGATGGAAACCTGTCGGGAGTGCATTTGAGAAGCAGCTATAATCCACAGGACAAGTAATGTCGCATTTCCGGAAGTACCGGGGAGGCAATTATTTAACACTCCCAAAACGAAAATGAATTATTTTAGGACCTAGGTAGTCGAGCTTGTGACTCGGGAGCCAGCAACGGAGAGCAATCCACACTAGACGGGGGCAAAGCGGGTTGTCATATGTGATGCAATAGCGCTATTGGAAGGTTCACATATACCTCGGAAGTACTTACTTAATGTTTATCGGGCTTTAGGCCTTTGTTAGAATCGGAAGGGCAATACCTTAAAATACATCAAGGTCGGGCAGCACAATGGGCTGAAATTGAGCGGCTTCCACGGTACATTTATATGTAGTCAACTAAAAAATGAATTTAAAATCTGGGGTTCGAAAGCGACGGATCCAATGAACTTGGATATTAATACTTAAGTATCTGCACTATACATGTTAACTCTGCACTAACATCAATAGATCTTAGTAGAAAGCATCTACTATGTACATACATCCTACCTGCCTTTTATTATGTTAAGGTACCTATTATACTCTAGCAGTCTAGTAGCTTGGTAACACAACGCAGCCACGTACTACAGGCATGAACTCCTCCATGACACGTACCTCTTTGCACGTAATTTCCCATCGTAGACATTGTTTCCGCCCGAATTGGCCCCTCTCCTCTAATCCCGGGGGGGGGGGGGGGGGGGGGGGGCGGGGGGGGGGGGGGGGGGGGGGGGGGGGGGGGGGGGGGGGGGGGGGC